ATCACAAATACATATGAATGATATCAAATACAAAAATATAGAACATATTCTAACAGCAATAATATTATTTAAATAGTCTGTAAGGAAAGATAGAATATGTGTGACACGTGAAGTAAATTCTGACACTTTCAATATCTCGAATTCTACCGGTCCCCCCTTAATAAAATTTAAGAAAAGAACACACAAAAAATGAATCCTTAAACCACGTATAGTTTTATTCTTAAACGCTATTTGCATTAATTTGAGCATGGAAAAATTGGTTAGTCGCATAACCTCACTTTCCGGATGCAAACCAATTTTTACGTGTTAGTGGCTAGACAATGAGGATCCGGGCAGCCACTTTCGTCCGCTAGGAGCGCTAGGGAGCTGCCGACCTAAGCCGCGTCTGCTAGGCCGTACCCTGGCGAAAATGACAAGCTTTATAAAGCGTTGATAACTGTTAAATGAAGGTTTTTTAAAAGTTCAAACGCTTTCAAACTTTATGAGAATGCTTACACAACGCCGCTGCGTTTTGAACGCTTTCAGAACGTTTATAAAATACTGTGTATAACGTTTCATAAAAGTTCTACAAAGCTAAGTTCAAAAATGCTATATACAAACGTCTTCTAAACGCCGCAGCGTTGCAATTTCCGCTCTACAAATTCTCTATTGACCGTTTCTAAACTCTCAACGAACTCCTGCAAACGCTATATACAAGCACTTGTGAAACGTGTTATTTTTGCCAGGGTAAAAACAAAATGCCTATGTGCTGCGTGTTTAAATGTTCTAATATGGGTGGACACGAGTTTCCAAAAGACCCAGAGAGAAGGAAAAAATAGGTGATAACTGTAAAACGTGAAAAAACTTGCAACGCGCGCGTTGCCGCTGCAGCAGTCAATCCGACGTTAGGTCAGCATCTCGATGCTGCCACCTGTCCTTAGTTTGTCGTTGCCGGATCCTCATAGCTAGCCAACTTTTTAAAGGTTTTCAGCGCCATCTATTAGCCAGTCACAAGCTTATAGTGACTAGCTAGAACATCTATCTAGTCAGTACTATCTAGCTACTAGCCTCTAAATCGAACCGACTAGATTCATTTCTGCTCGGGTATACGTTGAGCTTTCAAGTATGTAATAGTTCTTCTTTCAAGAATAAATGGCTTTGGAATTATGTCGTTATTGCGCTTGTTATAACCGTATAATGATTTTAGAAACAAGAATACCATATTAAGGATAAAATATATTCCATACAAACTTATTTATTATTAATGTAAATAAATATTTCTGGCTAAAGAGAGCATTCCATGCTCAAATTAATGCAAATAGCGTTTAAGAATAAAAATATACGTGGTTTAAGGATTCATTTGTGTGTGTGTGTGTGTGTGTGTGTGTGTGTGTGTGTGTGTGTGTGTGTGTGTGTGTGTGTGTGTGTGTGAATAAGTAGGGGAAATCGGAGTATTTTGTACCACGGGGAATTGCGGACCAGCGTCATATTTCTTTCCATATAGTGATAGTTGACAGCTGTAAACAACTGTCATCGACTCGCCTCATGCTAAGCTCATTTTCCCTTGAGCATTTCGACCTGTGTGCACGCACTGTTACCTCATTTCGATAGCAAGTAGAATTTTCACACTACAACAATTTTTTTTCACTTTTTGTTTGGTTTTTTTTCACATTTTTTGACGAATCAACTCAGGTAAATATATTTATGTATAATACTCGTGGAACCTTAAGCCTTCGATAATGAAAAGAAATTTTGCATGATGTTTGCATTGTGTTACTTGTACGCTGCTATTTTGTAAAAATGAGCGTTTGGGGAATTACGGACCACTTTTTTCGGGGAATTACGGACCACTCAGTTCTTCACATTTGACAAGCTAACTTCGTGTATATGATGCATATAAGTGATTTTTCATGCACCTTCAACAAGCGCTGGGCCTTCAACAAGCGGTGCAGTTTTAACAAGCTCTGTCGTTTCGGCTAAACAGCTCCGTGACGCATAGAAATCGGTTGGACCATTGAAACTTGGCATGCCAGCTAAGAAATCAAACCGTGGCCGTAAGGCCATGAAATCGACCGTTTTGACATCGCCAGAAGTTGTGTCTGACCTACGTGAGAAGGGCGAGAAGAAGCGGAAAACATTGTCGAAGAAAGGCGATGCACCAGCAGCAAAGAAGCAAAAGGGTCGCGGCAAATCGAAGACATCGCACAAGAAAATACCTTCTCCGACCGAAACTGATGTGGAAGAAGACATCGATTTCTGCATAATTTGCAAGAAAAATATGCCGAAGAATGAGAATCGCCAAAACACTGCCCAATGCATCGGTTGTGATCGTCCTGTTCACTTGAAATGCGCCGGAGTGGACCCGAATACTTTTTCATGTGTACACTGCGAGTGGGAGTAATTTTGATCGTCCTTTTTCACTTTTTTCCATTAATTATGAATTATTATTTTGTTTTCATTCATAAATAAATGTTTTCCATCAATGATTTTAATTTTTAATCGATTTACAAAGTGGTCCGGAATTCCCCGAGATTTTTCAAAATCGCAAAAACACCATATTTGCGCCAACTGATATAAGACGTACCATTTGATACAATTTGATCAAGTCGCTATGACCAACAGAAAGATTATTTATCGTATTACAAATTCAATCTTTGAAATTTTCAGAAAAAGTCATTTTTATGCGAGTTTTTAGCCAAAATCAAAATGCGGACCAGAATACCCCGACTTCCCCTAGTAATTACAATATTGTAAAACTGACAAACTATAACCTTGTTTAAATTACTTGTTATAATCGCAAAATAGCAATAAATGGACATACATCATAATAAAATTTAAAAAATTTGTTTTTTAATGTTATTAACTCCAAAATAAACCAGAATACTCATTTCGGATGAAAACTTTGACACCGAAAAATCCTAAATCTAGGGCTAAAACACAGTATGCCACTGTATGCACGCGAGTTTATATCCTAACGTGTCTGTATGCTACACACAGTCTTTAAATACAAAATTAAAGCAACATCAGTCCATTCCTTCCACATAAAACACAAAAAATTCATTGTGCACGTCTGATGAAATGTCGTCTACTTGACCTTCTATATTGTTTGAATCATGTATGAAAAGAGACACAGTGACTTAAAATAGATACGCAGATTAATATGTAAGGCATGGGCTTTGTTTTTTTTAACCTTTAGGAATATTTTACCGTCAGACAAGCTTTATAAGCTCCTGTATTTAACGTTTGTTAGAATCATTCGCATTTTCGCTGTAAGTGAAAACAAGTACCGAGATTTTTACGTTTTGTACCATGCTTATAACAATCAAGATAGTTATATTTGTAATTTAGCCGATTTTCGGAAAATATATACGTTACGTCAAAAACATGGAAAATAAAACAGCATATGAGTATATTCCGACTTTTTATGCCGGCCGCTGTATATTCATTACCGGAGGGACTGGATTTATGGGTAAAGTTCTTATTGAAAAGATTTTACGATCATGTCCCGATGTTGCAAACATATTTGTACTCATACGGCCGAAAAAAGAACTAAGTATCAACGATAGACTGAAGAAAATGTTGGATAACAAGGTGAGATCAGTATAAGTGTGCATAAATATATTTGCGATATAGTTAAGTTATTACATTTTGCTGGGTTGAGAAAAGTGTATAGAGAGGAAAGAAATATAGCTAGTTACTATAATCCAGCTTGACGGTAGAGGCGTTTCTATTAACTATTATACAAGTTATTGTACAAGTTATTATTGCTACAACACAATTAATTAGTGTGGCGCTAGCTTTAAGCCATACTACACTCTCAGAAAGGATTTCTGTTACTGATGTGAGACAAAATATATCCTTGACGCATTTATATTTCTCGCAACCTCATTTATGTATGAAAAGTAATGAAAGTATGAAAAGTAATGAAAAGTATGAAAATAAAAAATAAGACAATATGAAAATAAAATCAATAATTGTTATTCTCCTCTATCAAATTAAAAATATTGGCTTACTATATCGCTACAAGAGTAACGTATACAAATGTATGTTTATATATTCTTGCGTTTAGAATAAATTGTTCCTCCATCTTACAACGCACGAAGTAGGGCACCACGATATTCGACAAAAGTCGATACATACTATCATTTTATTCTAGATTTTAGAATTTTTCATTTAAAATTAAAATATTCTTTTCTCTATAAGAAATATGATTGGCGCTGTATCGATCCTATTTTATGATACCTTGAAGTGTACTAGCATCGGATCCGAAAATTTATTCCGTGAGTGTATGCGCAATTCGTAATGCGCGATTCGTGATTCGCAGAAATTCATTGGACATTCGTTATTACCACACTATTCGAGATTCGCAGTTTATCATTTGTAATTTATTATTTGTCGTTTACCTGTCATTACACACTCAAAAAAAGAATTGGCTACTGTAGCCTAGAACTGGCTGCGTCAGCCAATTTAAATAGTCAAATATGGCATAGCATTTCTGTTGGTTGCAGTAGCCAATTTTTAAAGCTGTTATAAACTTGGCTGGAGTTAATACATGACTTTGCTGCTCCAACCAACTGCCTACTTTACAGCGGTTTGTAAATTGGCTACTCCAACCATTATCCCGAGCAGTAGTAGGGTT